CAGGCAGGAAGATAGATAGTTCTGTTTGGCCCTCTGAAGCATCTTGCTAGCTCGCCGTTGCAACTGCTGCTCCCTCAGTCCCTCAGCCACACCATACTTTTCTCAAGCAAATTGCCCTCCCCCCTCCTCTTCCCCCCCTTACCCATCCTCACCCATCAGCCCCCTCTCCCTCACGAATATTAGCCCAGCTCTGTTCAAGAAAATGCTGTTCCGTGCTGTTCTTAGGACGCTTGAGCGAGAAGCCAGGAAGCGATTCGAATTAGACATCGATTGTGATAGGCTGTGCTTCGACGTGACCAAATCGCGGCTGCTATCGAAGGTCGGATTCCCCTCAGGCGAATGATGCCTGAAAGCCCTTTCCTGCGGAGCGATGTGTACCCCCCAGCGTGCGGTCTATTATGACCGATTGTCGGTATCAGTTACCCTCAGTTAAGTATAAGCTATGTGGATCATATGACGTCTCAGAGTTTCACCGCATCCGGAAGTGCCCAGCTTGCGACAGTGAAGGAGCGGAGCCTGTAGGGCAAGATCTGATTGGCATGGCCTTGGCAGCGGAAGCCAATATTGAGACATTGAATCGCTTCGCTCATTCCGCCGGCCCTTATTGTCGCACCTCTGTCGATTTGGGGGTGTATTCCGAGGGGTTCGCAGTGACTGTGGGCCCCTCTTAGGGATGTCTTGGGCTGTCCAGGGCGCCTCGTGGGCCGTCTTGGGGCCCTCTTGGGCCGTGTTCGGCCCATCTTGGGAGTCTGTTGGGCCGCCTTGTGGCGATCTTGAAGGTCTATTGGGCAGCGTTTGACGCGCTGGACCTCGAAACGTCGTATATGTGCCAGCATGTACGTTTTCCTACAGGAATGGGGCACTTTTTGCTTACTGAGGCTCTCTAGGAGAGCCTCTCGAGGCTCTCTTGGGGCTCTCTTGGCGGCGTCTTGGGCCTGTCTGGAGGCCATCTTGGGCGTCTTGGGACGATCTTGCGGGTCGGCGAGCTAGAAAGTTCAATTCGTGTTCCCCCGATGAGGCTCCTCTTAGGGCTGTCTTGGGCTGTCCAGAGGGCCTCGTGGGCCGTCTTGGGGCCCTCTTGGGCCGTGTTGGGCCCATGTTGGGAGTCTGTTGGGCCGTCTTGGAGCGATCTTGAAGGTCTATTGGGCAGTGTTGGACGCGCTTGACCTCGAAACGTCGTAGATGGGCAACATCTACGTTTTCCTACGGGAATGCGGCACTTTTTGCTTCTTGAGGCTCTCTAGGAGAGCCTCTTGAGGCTCTCTTGGGGCTCCCTTGGCGGCGTCTTGGGCCTTCTGGAGGCCATCTTGGGCGTCTTAGGACGATCGTGCGGGTCGGCAAGTTGGAAAGTTCGAGTCGAGCTCCCCCGATGTGGCCTCTCGTAGGGCTGCCTAGGGCTGTTTAGGGGGCCTCGTGGGCCGTCTTGGGGCCCTCTTGGGCCGTGTTGGGCCCATCTTGGGAGTCTGTTGGGCCGTCTTGGGGCGATCTTGAAGGTCTATTGGGCAGTGTGGCAGTGTTGGACGCGCTGGACCTCGAAACGCCGCTTATGCGCAACACGTATTTTTCCACGGGTTTGCTTGTTGAGGCTCTCTGGGAGAGCCTCTTGAGGCTCTCTTGGGGCTTCCTTGGCGGCGTGTTAGGCCGTCTGGCGGCGAACGAGGGACCCTCGGACCGTCTCGAGCATGTCACCATCTCTGGGTCTCACCTGGCTGGGACCTGCCCAGGTACTTTTCGTTCGGGGGCCCCAGGGGCCACCCCCCGTGCGGGCGAACTAGAACATTGTAGACCAATTGCCAGAGTTCTTAGCACGCCTCTGGCCCGTTGGGCTGGCGAATTTTCACCAGGGGCATCTTCCCTCTCTCCTCCTCCTCCTCCTCCTCCTTCTCCTCCTCCTCCTCCTCCTCCTCCTCCTCCTCCCTCTCCTCCTCCTCCTCCTCCTCTTCCTCCTCCACCTCCTCCTCCTCCTCTCCTTCTCCTCCTCCTGCTCCCTCCCCTCCCTCCCCTCCTGCGGTGTGCACTGGTGTGCCATTCGTCATTACCCGTCTGGGGGGTGATTGGTTCAGCGCGACGACCTTCGCTCTGACAATGCCTCTGGTTTCGCGGTGCCGTGCTGGTGCCGTGCTGGTGCTAGACCTGCTCGAAGGGTGGCTCGTCGTGGAGTCCCCCTGCCGTCAGTGAGTAGGCCGGCAATGCAACGCACCCTTACTTCCACCCTCGCCCAGCAGCGCCAATGACAGCGAAGTTGTCTTGGACCGACCCAGACAGACGACGGAGATGTTGCACGAGCAGTCCTTGCCGATGGAAGCTGTACGCGACACATCATCCACAATTTGAAGGGGTCGAGGTGGGGAGTGCTTCAAGTCAGTGAGGATGGGGAGGAGAGGTACATCTGTACGGACCCGTGCCCAGCTCTTTCATTGCGTCGCCTCAGGCGGCAGAGTATTATGCCATAGCCACGGGTTCGCTTCAGTTGGCCAGCCATGGTGAACGGCATCCCAAGTGGTAAACGTCACCAAGCTTTGCGCTGGTTCCCCAGCTGAGCAGCTGGTCTATTTCAAGCCTGATGCTGGCATGACGCATTTTAGCAACTGGGTGCGAAGAACGCAAACAGTAAAAGCTTCATGCGGATCCAGAAGACACAGGCATCCCTTGCCGGGGACGACCTGGCAACCAGCTTGCGGATGGCAACCAGCTTGCGGATTCAGCGGCGAAGACTGGCGCAGCAATGCGTCTTGGCTGGTCGGATAGGGAAGAGGCTGAGTTGTGGGCACTAGTCAAGATCGCCAAATCCGTGTGCAGGCTGGCGATGACTCTCCTTCCTTTGTGGCCCCGCTTGGACCTCAACGGAATCGACTTGGCGAACCACCCCGTGGTGCGCAAGAGGCCAGCAAACGGTGAGCGGGATGATTCGGATAGGGGAACGGGGCCTCGACCAGTCATACACTTTTAATGTTTGGCAGCGTTGTCAACTGTACCTTTGCTGTGTGTGTGGCAGGACTGCCACGATGGAGCCGAGGCATCTAGTGAGTGAATGCGAACAACCGTCAGCGAAGGGTAGAAGCAACCTGATCCGCATGGGGCAAGGCCTGTTTCCCAGCTCCCTAGAAAGTCAAGTGTCTGTTGTCAGGCGCGAGGCTCGCAAGCGAAGCCCTCACCCAGCCCTCTGGTAGCAATATGCTCCAGAGCGGAGCTTTAACCATCGGGATCGCCCTCTGCCGCCAGCTCCCACGCTCCTCTTCTCAGAGCAGAAAGCCTTGAGAGATTTCAGCTCGCCTCCATTCGTTCCAGACTACGTTCGGAGCAGGAGGTTAAGTCGTGTGCTGGCGTGCCTTCATAAGGATCGGACAAACCGCATATATCGGTCCTTGCCTGATCCTTGCTGCTCAGATTTTCGATAGATCTGAGCAGCAGCCAGCTTCTTTCGGCTGGTTTCATCTCGCGCGTGCTGTTACATCCTCCCCCTCCCTCCCCCCCCCGCCCCTCGCTCTCCTCCGCGGCTGTGCCCCCGTGCACGCCCCCGCCCGTCCCCGCCGCTCGCGTGCTTCCCGGGCCCCCTTCGCTCTCCACGCAGCGGAACCCTCTGCGCTCTGCGGGCGTCAACCTCGCCACGTCGACGCGCCGTGCCTGAAGGCGCAGCGCCTCCTGCGCGGGGGTCGGTCCGGGGTCGCAAGCGGAGACCGCGGCCTCCGTCGGGCGCTCGGTCGGAAGCGCCGAGTGCCCCACGCTCCAGGGCCTCTTTCGATCCGATCGGTTCGATTCGGTATCGATTCCGGCAGGCTCGGTCCGGATCGATTCCGATGTTCCAGCGGTCCGATGCTCCAGGCCTTTCAAATGAGGTTGGAGAAGATGGGGTCGGAGGATCTCGCCGCATCGCCGATGCATCGGCGATGCATGGGCGAGGGGGCGCGATCCTCTGACCACATCTACTCGGACCACATTCGGGAGGCCTCAAGACGCGGCCCAGTACTTCTTGCGCTGTCGTGCATCCTGGCGCAATCAGTCCCATCAGATTTCAGATGTCGCTTCTTCGTGCCGATGCAGGACGATCCGAGACGGAGATTTACCCAGAACCGCCGCCTAGGGGATCGATCTTCGGGGCCCTCGGCATGCGTTGGATATGAATGTACTTGGCTCCCCTGTGGCCAAAAGCATGTCCATATCCACCACCCGCTGGGGTCCGCTGGGGTCCCAGCACGTGAGTTCCACAGGCGGTGGATATGGATATATCCCCGCCTCGACGATCCTACTCAAATTCCCATTCGATCCGATTTTCCGATTCGATGCTGACTGATCCTGCCCGTCTCCTCCCCAGTCCTGTCCGCAGGGGGTACATGCACACCACCACTGTGCCTGGCCAGGGCCAACCTTGGTCCGAGGTTGCTGCACAGACCCTCCTGGCCTCGGCCAGGAGGGCGTGTACCCAATGCCAGGGCCCAGCATTGGGAGTCAACAGCGCCTGGGCATAACCATGATTTCTCGGCCCTCCGCGCGGATTTCTTGAATCGGCGCTGGGCCTCATCCGAGAAATCCGCGTGGACCTCCGAGAACGTCTGTTTATGGCGTTAGTTCTTGTTCAAGGCACGGCCCCTGGTGGTAATGCACAGATGACCTCAGCATGCCTCCATTGGGCGATCTTGCAGCCTTGGGCGATCTGGTAGCCCACGCGGTGCTCAGAGCTGCTGGAGCGGGCCGCCACGCCGAGCTTTCAGGAGGAAAGGAGCCCCCGCATTAAGCCTCGATCGATCTGGTAAATCTTCGGATTGGCCACAGATAGCCCCCCCCCCAGGTAGTCCAGGCTGGCCTCAACGGGCCCCTCGAGTAGGCCAAGCTGGTCTCAACAGCCCCCCCCCACGAGAAGTCCTGGGCGGTCTCAACACCCAGGGGCGCCGGCGGAGGCGGTGCCGAGGTGTCTGTGCGCAACCCGAGGGTTTACCAGATCGACCATCGTAACAACCTCTCCACTTCTCTCGCCGTCCGGCGCGAAGTTGGCCATCGACGGGATGTTGGATGTCAGCAGCGGCGCTCTGCAACCGTTGTTCTGGGCGCTCATCGGGCGCGCTGGGCTGGGCTGGGGCGGGTGGGGGAGAAGGCGAGAAGGAGGCGAAGGAAGGGGAGGGGGAGGGGGAGGAGGAGGTTGTGGAGAAGGAGGAAAAAGGGACGGGGAAGGAGGAGGAGGATGAGGAGGAGGAGGACCTATGTAAACCCAAGACGCATCAACGATGTTGCAATCTACCTCTCTTCGAGTTCCCTCTTTACAGGGCCCAGCAATAGCATCTGTTCATTCTAGGAATTGCTTATTGGAGGAAAATTGTCTGAGAATCCTCAATCGTGCCAAAACACACGTTCAAGTACTTCAGCGTCGCGTCCTGATAATTTTCAAATCGCACCTGAACACCATTGCTGGGACTTGAACACCGCGAATCAGCGTGGTTGCTGCGTCCTGACATTCTTAATTCGTGCCAGAACATTCCTGGGACTTCGACCTTGCGAATCTTTGAAGCTGTTGTAAGTTTTCAAAGCGAATGTGCCGGCGCTAAGGCGATAGCCACATTTTGAAAAAGAGCCGCCCTTTATCCTTGAGCATGCTGCAAGCTTTCAAGGCGAATGTGAGAGGTGCTGAGGCGAGATCCACATTTTGAAAAGTGGTGCCCTCCACCCGTGAAATCACTGCAAACTTTCACGACGGATGTGCATGTCGTTGCAGAGAAGCCGCATTGCGAAGACCGCCCGCCCTTCATCAGGGAGCCTCTCGCAATCTTTCAAGACGACTGTGCGTGGCGCCGAGGCGAGAGCCACACTTTGAAAACCACACGCCCCCCATCCGTGGAGCGATTGCAAACTCTGAAGAGAAATGAGAGCGGCGCTGACGTAGGAGCTACATGTCGAACATGGCCCACCCTCTATCTGTGAAGCTGGTTCGGTCTTCAAACTTCAGGGTCATACATGGTGAGGAAGTCAGGCGAAGCGCCCGCCCTACCTTCACGTCTTGGGATGCGACAGGGAGGAGGAAGATGAAGTTGAGAGGGGGACGATGACGAGGGCGGTGGAGGAGGTGGGAGAGGAGGATGGATGAGGAGTTGGAGGAGAAGGAGGGGGAACACGAGGAGGAGGAGGAACACGAGGAGGACGGAGGAAGAGATATTCGACCAAACCCATCCAGGTGGTTGAGGGCGCTATCTCTTAACGTGATCAGGATGGCTAAACGTTTATCCGCCAGTGCAACTTTGCTACTATCTCTGCTGGGAGTTTTGCATGGTGGCGAGATTCGCATGGCGACGCGACCAGCAGAGGCACAAACACCTGACAGTCGCGAGGAGTGATACGACTGAACTTCGAGTCGTTCCATGGCAGTTGCCATATTGCAGCTAATTTCGTAGAAGGAAGTTCCATTAGAAAGCAGCCATTCGGGTCAACCATGCTGGAGTTGATTTCCACGTCATGGGATGGCGTCCAAAAATGAGAAGCATGATCGCCAAAGTGACTTGTTCATACTTACACACATATCTGGTGGCATAAGGCGACAGCGCTGTCAAGTGTGATCAGCCGTGAGAACCGACACGCGTGATAAGCCAGAACGATGACAGATCATGAACAGTTCGCACATGAAGCATATCATGGACAACGAAGCGATCGTTGAAGTCGCCATGCACTCATTTGTGAATCAAAAGCCAATGCGCTCGCCAATTTGAGCGATGCAATTTGTATCACGTTGAAGAGTGATCGCGACACCTGGGACGACCGACCGAACACCTGAAGAGCCAGGTGCAGAGGGCCTTCTGTAGGTTTCATCATGGGAGGTTGCGGCAGAAGCTATACGCTCTAGCTTCCCAAGTAGTTCGCACGATCGCAAAATGGTTTGGGATGCCATCATAAACAACGCAAGTGTGATGGATGCGATTGATACAGTTTCACAAACTAGACGCTAAGAGGCCTAGTAACACAAGCGAAGTTGCATCACTGGACAGGCTTGGTCGATCGTCGGGGAAATCATGGGAACGCGTATTTTCTGCCCATGACGTTCAGGATGGCGGCGCATGTAAACAAATCGATCCGCGCAGGCGACCGGTTCGATGATTTGCGTCATGCATGTTATATAGTACCCGTGTCGCCAGACTTTTGGGACATGTCCAAAGGTTAGCGTTAATTGTGAATATTGGGAGTAAGAAGAGGCATGTCGGCCTTTTGCGCGACACTGATGCGATGGACATCAGCGGTGGCAACAACTCACGAGCGGCCAGACCAATGAGTCTAGCTCCCCACTCCCTTCTCTTTTGCCCCTCCCCCTTGCCTCGCGCCCTGCCTTCTTTCGTCGGCGAGCCGGGGGGGTAAGTGAGAAGCGGCGGGCCTTCTCAGCAGGCTCGGAAGCTCCATGGCCTTTAAGACATTTTCTTTGCCTTCTCCGAAGACACAAAAACTTTCCAGAAGGCCAGAGAGCTTCCGAGAAGCCCCGCCGCCTTCTGAGAAGATCTTCTTCTTCTTACTTCCCCCCTCGCTCGCCGCCGATTCTTTGCTTTCTTCCCTCCTCTCCTCCTGGTTCCAGTGCCTCTCTGGCCCGACGACAGGGGACCTCGGGGCTGGGACGGGCTCGCGCAATGCTGGTCGACCCGCAGCCCGTGTGCCAACTGGCAGGAATGCTAACCGTCCTCACCTTGATCCTTGTTCTCGCCCTTGTCCCTCGTCCCAGTTGTTTCCTTGTCCTCTTCGTTCTCCCCTTGCTCGTCCTCATCCTGTTTCTCGCCCTCCACCTCTTTCTCTTACTCCTCTTGCTCGTCCTCTTCTTCCTCGCCCTCTTCCTTGTCCTCCCCCCTCCCTCCTCCCCCCGCGCTCTTTCCTCCTTCCTCCTCCTTCCCTCCGCTCCCTTCCCTCCTCCCTTTCTGCCTTTTCCCCCTCCTCCCTTCTCGCACGTTCTCTCGTACCTCCCTTCCGTTTCGTTAATCCGTCGAGTCGTGTTTCTTTTTTCGTCTTTCCTTTGTTTTCCTTGCAGAATGTTCGGGTGCCATTGTGTCTTCAGTTGCTGGTCTGTGTGATGCTTGCTTTCCTGCGTGTCCAACCTAATCCTTCATGTTTTCTTCTCCGTCCTCCCCCTCTCCATATTTCCCTCCTACTCCTTCATTCCTCTTCGTCATCCTTCATCTCTCTCCTCCATTATCATTGGCATCTTCTCCAGAATGAATGGGAGGGGTAGGACGGGGGAAGCGAGGATGAGGCGGAGGGGGGGAGAGGAGGACAACCAGTGTAAACCCAAGACTCATCAACGTCACTGCAGTAGGCCCTTCCTCCAAGTTCCCTCTTCATAGGCCCCCACTCGGATTTATTTTCACTGAGGGAGGTTCCCCGTTGGAAGACAGGTTTTTGAATATCCGGAAGTCTGCTGTAACGCCATTCCGGGGACAGCAATGTCGCGAATCATTTTTACCGTTGTGTCTTGACGATCCTGAGTCGCGCCAGAAGACCATTCCTCGGACTTCAACACCGCGAATTCACGTGACTGTTGCGCCTTGACTTTCCGACATCATGCCGAAAAACCATTCACGGACATTGATCATGATATCCTTTCAAATTGTTGTGAACTCTTAAGACGAACTTGCGCGGCGCTAAGGCGAGAGCCACATTTTGAAAAGGAGCCGCCCTCCATCCGTGAAATTCCTGCCAGCTTTTAAGACGACTGTGCGCGGCGCTGGGGCGAGAGTCACATTTCGAAAACGGGCCGCCCTCCATGCGTGTGACTCTTGCACATATTGTAAGTCGAATGTGCGCGGCGCGATTGCGAGAGCCACATTTTGAGAATCACCTGCCCTCCATCTCTTAAAACTCTTGCGAATTTCTAAGACGAATGTGCGCTCGGAGCTAAGGCGAGAGCCACATTTTGAAAGCGGGCTGCCCTCCATCCATGAAGCTTTTGCGAACTTTGGAGATGAATGTGCGCGGCGCCAGGGCGAGAGCCGCACTTTGAAAGCGGGCCGCCCTCCATCCGTGAAGCTCTTGCAATTTTCAAGCTTCTGGATCATAAATGCTGGGGAAGTCTGAGGCGAAACGCCCGGCCCGCCGTGTCGACCGACCTTGGGGTGAGACAGGGAGGATCTCTCTAGAAGGAGGGGGTTGAGCAGCATGGTATCGAGTTTCAAGCTATCCAACGAATTTGTATCATGCGAGTCGATATGAAACTCCACCCTTGACCACGACTTTCTCGCCGACCAAGAGGTACTGAATGGAGACGCATTTCATGGACGATGCACGCATTCACCCTATTGCGAAGCGCTCACGTTCCTCTGCATGCTGAAACCATCCGAGCTCTATGAACTGTTTGAATACTGTCTGTGGCCCGGGCAACATCCCAGGACACTGTTTTGGTGCTTGCAGTTATCATAACTCTCAACTCTTCGCGTATCCCCACTAGTCCATCCAGGCACGATGTTCAGAGTAGCTGCCCTAAACGGCGGAGCGCGTCATCATTTGGAGATGTCGAGGGCCTGTGTGGGGGGGGGGCAAATCCTTAGGATGGAAAGCCCGCCACTGGGTGCCCCCGTAATTTTAAAGGGGTCGTGTGTTGACGGGGACCCCCATCCCCCCTTTAAAGGGGGGGGGGGGGTCGCACCCTTTTCAAAGGGGTGGTGGTGGTTTCGGACCCCCCTCTCCCCCCCCTTTGCGACGGAGAGGGGGGGGGAGGATTTCGGACCCCCCAGGGTGGTAGGGTAGGGGTAAGGTGTTGAGGTTAGGGTTAGGTGGTCAGGGTTCGGGGGTAGGGTTCGGGTTAGGGTCAGTTTTTTTTGGCCAGGGTATTAGGGTCAGGGTCAGGAGGTCAGGGGTAGGGTTGGGTTTATATAGAGGGTTCGGTTCGGGTGGTAGGGTTAGGATTAGGATTCGGGGTACGGTGTTAGGGTCAGGGTTAGGGGGTCAGGGATAGGATGGTAGGGGCAGGGTTAGGGTACTCAGGTCAGGGCCAGGGTTCGGGGGTTAGGGTTGGGGTGGTAGGGTTAGGATTCGGGTTAGGGGTAAGGTGCTAGGTATAGGGTTAGTGGGTTAGGGATAGGGTGGTAGGGTCAGGCTCAGGATGTTGAGGTGAGGGTCAGGGTTCGGGTGTGTTAGGGTTAGGGGATGGTAGGGTTTGGATTGGGGTTAGGGGTAAGGTGCTAGGTTTACGGTTGGGGGGTTACGGTTAGGGTGGTAGGTTTCGGGGGTAGGGTAAGGGTTAGGGTCAGGGGGTTTGGGCTAGGGTATTAGGGTTAGGGCTAGGAGGTTAGGGTGAGGGTTAGTGTTAGGGGGTTCGGAGTCGGCTGTTCGGGTTAGGGTTCGGGTTTGGGTGGTGGGGCTTAGGTCAGGGTGCTGGGAATATTGTCAGGGGGTTAGGGTCAGGGTTCGTGTTAGGGTGTTAGGGGGTTCGGGTTACGGTGGTTGTTTGGTGATTGTTGTTTTTTTTGGGGGGGGGGGGAGGGGGGTTAGGGTTCGGGTTAGGCGGTTAGGGTTAGGGTCTTAGGGTTTGGGGTAGATGGTTAGGGCTAGGGTTTGGGGATTATGATCAGGTTGGTAGGGTCAGGATTAAGGTTCGGTTTAGGGGTTTAGGGTTAGGGCGGCAGGGATAGGGTTAGGGTGTTAGGGTTCGTGTCATGGGGGATCGGGTTGGGGTGGTAGGGTTAGAGTTAGGGTGCTAGGGTTAGGGTGTCATGGTAGGGGTTAGGTGTAGAGGGTTAGGATTAGGGGGGTCGGCTTAGGGTTAGGGTTAGGGTTAAGCGTTTAGGGTTCGGGTTCGGGAGTTAGGAAGTTATATCGGATTAGGGTTAGGATGGTAGGGTTCGAGTTCGGGTCACCTCTAAGGTCCGGGTTAGGGGGTTAGGGTTAGGGTGCTAAGGTTAGGGTTAGGGGGTAAGGATGTTCGGATTAGTGTAGGAGGGTTAGTTTTAGGGTTAGGGTGAGGGTCATAAGGGGTGTGTGGGATGAGGGGTTCGGGGTTAGGGGTTCGGGGTGCGAGGTGAGGGGTTGGGGTGTAGGGTTAGGGTTAGCGTTAAGGTGCAGGATTAGGGTGAGGGTGAGGGTGAGGGTCAAGTTAGCCAGCTCGAACGAGCCAGAGGGCTCCGTCCACTCCCACCCGCTCTCCCACAACATAAGAAGCAAGTGCGTCGCGTCCGACGCCTGTCGCTCATCTTCTATCGTGGGCGGCTAGACGTTCAGCGCGCGACATGAGCTGCGTCCTATTCCTGCCACGTATTGAGCAACGTCCACGAGAAACAAGACCGCGCGCGATGTACGCCGCGCCCTGCTCCGGCCTCTCATGTTGCATCGTCGGCGGCATCACGTCCAGCGCGCGAAGTGCGCCGCGTCTCATTCCAGCCACGCGCGTTGTACCGCCAATCGTTTCGCTCCTGCCGCGCAAGGAGGAGGGGGAGGAAGAAGAGGAGGAGGGGAGGGAGAGATGGAGGGAGAGAAAAACTGAGGAGGAAGAGGATATTGTCTCTTGCTTGAGGCATTCTGACTTGCCGCCCGCCCAGCTCCTCAACCGACGGGCCGCAGCGTCGACGACAAGAAATTCCAGGTTGACGAGCAGGCGTCCCCGCGCGATGTGCGCCGCGTTCCATATTTCCGCTTCGCGATTCACAGCGCCGACGAGGATAAACTGCACGTTGGCAAGACAAACGTCGACGTTGCGGTGTTTTTTGGTAGGTAGGACGGGGGGGGGTGGCCAGGCGTCCGCGCGCGATGTGCGCCGCGTCCCGTTCGTGTTAATTTTTTCGCAGCGTCGACGATAAAAACGTCCACGTTGACGTTGTACGGTTCTTTGGTAGGTAGGACGCGGCCACCCGCTTAGGGTGACCCAAGCGGTGCTCATTCCGTCGCATTATTGCTACACTTTTCGCAACTCGATGACATGATGGCGAGGAACCACTTGAGTTTGTATTGTTTTTACGATTAGGACGGCGGGGTTGCTATCGGCCGGCTAGTTGGGGTTTGGGGGTGTTTGATCATAAGAAGTAAGGATTAAAAAAAGGTTGGGGTGAGGGCTAGGGTCAGGGTCTGGAATAGGGTTCGGGATTTGGGGTTTGGGGTTTGGGGTTCGGGGTTAAGGTTCGGGTTAGGGGGTTCGGGGGTTGGGTTCGGGGGTGGGGGTTCGGAGCTAGGGTTTCGGAGCCCCTTGAAAAGGGGGAGAGAGAAGGAAGGGGTCCGAATTTCGAATTCAGAGAGGGGGAGGGAGGAGGGGTTCGAGCCGCCCTCCCCTTTCGAAGTGGGGAGGGGGTCCGCCGACGACGGATCGGGAAAGGGGGGGGGTCCGCCGACGACGGACCGGGAAAGGAGGGGGGGGGGGGCTGACCCCCCCCCAGCGGCGCGCCCCCCATGCTTCCCTAGGTATTTTGGAGTCCTGTGGGCCTCTTGGAAGCATCTTGGGGTTTTTTGGGGGCCTTTTGCTTGCTCTTGGGGGGCATATTGGAACGTTTTGGGTGCCCCTGGATGGCCTCTTGGGTGCCTCTTGGGGCTCTCTTGAGGGTTTCTCGGGCCATTTCGGGGCCATCCTGGTGGCTATGGATGGACGAATGGGGGGGGCGAACAGCCTCGTCCCCCCCCATCAACCCAAACTTGGCGCAAGGCCAACAGAACATGTATAGTGCTTGCCTTTTCGCTGAGGCCTTCTTGGACGTTCCAACGGGTCGCGGCCCCCCCGTCCAGACCCAGGGGTAGAGGTGGGGGTGGGGTACCCCCCTCCCAGAAGACGAATAAGTGAGGATGGAAGAGGAAAGGCCTTAAACTACTCACGCCATACATGGCTAGTGGGATTGAGGCCGAGCTGTGAAGGCGACGACGATGATCAGGGTCCCGATATAACTCGGCAGCAACAGCTGACGATAGCTCAGGTGCGCCTCCACCTTGCCGAACAGAAGCGTCAGTGGCACCACCTGGAGGTGGAAAATCAAGCCCGCGCGCTCCAGGAGAAGGGCATGCAGCTCCGCTCCTCCGAGCACGACAGGCTCCAACAGCAACCAGTAGCGCCCGCCGATCTGTCCATGTGCCGCCAATGGTCTGCGAAACGGCACGGTGCCGATGTGGAGGCTCTTGCGAACCCACGCTTGTCGACTCTCCGCTCACGGCGTCGACAGGTGACGCGCCAGGCACAGCAGCCGCCGCAGCGGCTCGACCAAGGGACGGCGCCACCCGCACGGCCCCCGCACAGTCCATCATCGCGTCCGCCGTCTGCGCCACTTATGCTGCGCCGCCCCCCTCCAGGGCAGCCCCCTCCGCGGGGGCCCTGGGGGACGGGGTGCGGTTGGTGCCGACATTTGTTCCTGGAAGATCGCCACGAGCATCCGAATTCCGGGCGGCATCCTGAGCCAACGGCTCCAGCTCCATGCCGTGCTCCTGGCGAGCCGCACATACTGCGGAGGGCGGTGGCACGGCCCCGAGCAGAATACCGAAGCCGCACTCCAGAAGACCGAGACTCCGATGATGAAAAACGGCGCAAGCGGTCGTATCCCAGCCCGTACACAATCACGTTGTTGCCAGGAAGTTGCACCTCCTTGTGACCACATACAGGCAGCATCAGATGCGGGAATCGAACGGGCGCCCGCCGTTGACGTGCTGGAGACCCGAAGACCACGCCGACTCCACGCCGAGCTCCTCCTGCGCATCCGTCTGCTCCACCCGCACCTCTTGCCGCGCCGCCGCCTGCCCGTACCGTCAAAGCGCACAGGAAGGACGAGCAACGTTCCAAGGTTACCCTTGCTCATTATTTGCCAAGCCACCCCCAGCCAACCCGAAGGTCCCAGATCCTCCCAACTTTCGGGTTGGGGGGTGTACGAGTGCCACTGTGTGTTTCTGGATGTTCCAGAACGCCCCCCCACTGGAAATTTGT